CAGCTGTAACAGGAAGCGTTCGGGTTGCATCCGAGAGAACATGCTGGACTTCTGCTTCAATCGCTTCGGTTGTGGCGATGACAACTTCTTCATCAGGCGATTCCTCGGTTCGCTTTAAGATGAGGCGAGACAACGCGTCGGCTTTTACTGTCGAGATAGCTGCATAGGGAACGGGATGCTTGGGACGAAAAACTGGTTGGGCGTCCGGTTGTAATCGCAAAGAAGCTTTGAAACGCTTGCAACAACCAAGTTATTGCTGCAAATGCTAGGGAAGTGCGAGCGAACGAACTGTTCCGCATTTGAAGCATTCAAGAAACTAACGGACCCCGAATTGCGTGCATCGGGTTCACCCTGAAGCTTGTTGAATGGTTGGTCAGAGACCTAGTTTCTCGAACCACTCAATTCCAAGGAGGTTACTGTTGCCATCGTTGGACACGTAACATATTCCGGACAAGGGTTTCGAATAGAAACGATAGGTACATTTGAATTTACCTTGCAACGAAACTGAATCGCCGGTATAGCTGACTGCTGAATTTGCTGTGGCTTGGGTGAGCCTTGGAGAACCAGTCATCTTCCAGGCTGAAGAAGACATAATTGTAAGGTCTGAACCCGTGTCAACCAGCAGTTTAACTGGACGGCTGTTGATGAAAAGGGACAGGTACCGACGAAAACGTTTGAAATCAGCAGAGGCAAGGGCATAAACTCCGTTAAGCCAGCGATTTTGCGCCATTTGGATTTTTTAACAACTACGGACTTTTTGGGTCCTCCTGTAGATGAAGGGCGACGGGGAGAAAACCCCTCTTTGTGGCCAGTTTTGTTGCATAATGAACATGTGTGTCCCTTGTATGGACAGTCATGTACATAATGCATACCTCCGCAGAACCAGCAGGGAGTTTTGGGTTTTTGTTTGGGCCTGTTTGTTGGTTATGCTGATTGGCGACATCGGCAATGTTGGATTTGTGTTGAGACCTGGCGACGGTGGCTATGTCGGCAGAATCGGTAGCGCTGGCAGATTCAACCATTTCAGTGTCACGTTTCAGACTAAGAAAGCGGTTGCATTCGGCTACCAATTTGGGAATGGTGACATCGTCCTCCTTCTCAATTTTGTTGAACAACTGCATACGAATATTGGCATCCTCTGGGGACTGTAGGTCGCAAACGAACATGCGGCATTTGAAATGGTCTTCGGTCAGCGAAGCCAGTTGAATCCGCTGGCAGTCCCGGTTTACTCTTCCGCCGTAGGAGATGAAATCTTCACGGTCCTATTTTTTCATCTTCGGGCATTTGTAACGCGCGGTGAAGAGGGACATTTGGGGGCCAAACATCGATGTATAATTTTAACCGTTTCTTTAAAAGAAACATCACGGGGGGTGGCATGATAGGATAAAATCGACATATTGCTTGTGAATGGGCGTCGCCATCGGGCAATAACCGCACCCGGGTTGCATCATTAAGAATTTTTCCATCAATTCGAAAAACGTCTTCGAAGCGGAGATACCATGCCGGGAAGGTTTCATCACTTTCCGGGTCATAGGTGAACTCCGTGATACTGGAAGACAACTCGGCTCCATTACGGGCTTCTCATTCTGAATAGCGAGGTGCATTTGATCCAGCACTGTGCTGACGATGGTCTGAAGGTCTTCCTTGGTCATTGTGAATTCGAATTATCCTCGTCGCCAAGTATGTTGTATCTTCACAGTGCCAGTTCTGGATATAGGTTTTTTGCGGTGGCCGAGCCGGGCAAAGCAAACTCTCAAAGGCGAGACGATACAACATTGCATACAAGTAACAAAACGATGGGTTTATATACTCGACGATCGGAGCGCAGTAAATGGCGCTCTTCATGTGCTAATGCCTAGAGCGCATGATTTGATCTGATTACGTGGCGAAGTGTAGTCGATTAGATCACAACATGCAAATAAAGTAGTTGGTCGCACGGTCGCATCAATGCACGAGTGACTCATGGCGATGACTAATGATCGTCCGTAACACAAGGTCATCTGCAAAGAGCAATGCTCCCGTTTCGATATTACGGCTGATACACTCATCATCTTGACTTTGCCTGCCTATTCCATCAGTTTGCAACACAAACAGGAGAGGCAACGGGACGTAGCCCTGGCGGAAAGCAGTGCCAATGCTGAAAGGTTTACGATTTAACAAATTATTCTTACGGCGTACCCGCTATAGCATATGGTGATTGAATGGCCCGTAGCAACTGGCCATCGATTCTGTGTTCTCTGGCCTACAGACCGTTGTGCGGGATCAGCCAGACTTTTTCTAAGTTAACAAAGCACATGAACTGGATGAACGAACTCCTATCATTTCTCAACAATTATGCGTAGGGCGGATAATCTCGTCAGATGACTGCAAAGCATAAAAGTTTTATTTTTATAGAATTTTTGAGTATATGAGCCGGACTGCTTCGGCAGGCTTGAAAAGTGCAGGCTTAATGATTGACCATTATAGGTACGTTAACAGTAAACAGGAGCATCCTGTACAGTAATCTTTGCGTGTAGTGGGGTAAGTTGAAATAAATTTGTGCATTCTTATTTCGATAGAAATGTTTGGCACATTTAAACAAAACTTCAGAAATTATTTTTTGGGACAGTTGAGTGAAATACAACTCTTTTTGATCGGAACTGTGAAAAAAATCGCCAGAAGAATTTTGATTCATCGAAAATGAATAACAAACAGCATTTGAAAAACTTTAAGAGCATCGGCATCGTGTAGCTGGTGATGTAGAATATGAGGTAAAGATCGAGCGGTGAATTTGAATGGCCAGTCACCTTGTGACTAAAGCTGAGCTGAGAGAAGAAAAATTCTCGGTGTTCAAGTTGATCTTCATTCCCATGCACATCTACCTGAATCCTGCACCATGATTGAAAAACTGCGATTCCGGGTACAAGCGGCTGAAAAAATCCTTCCTAGATGAATCGCTGGCCTTATGGAGTACAGAAATCAGAGTCTTAGTGTATAACCGCTGCTTCTTCAGATTGAGCAGTCACAGATGCGATGGTTTAGGCACGCGTTGCAAATGCCTCCTAAAGGAAAGAGAAACCTCTCCTACTTGTCCAATCGACCGGCAGAAGAGGCTCAGAGTTTAACGTGGTGCAAATGCATTTTTTTCTCTAAGAAAGGAGTTTTCTCCAGACTTTTGTTGAAGCTCAGATGCTAGCAGAGGATCAGAAACGTTGGAATCCCTATATGGCTCGTCTCCCTTCACGACCTGAAAGGAGAAATGATTATAGAAAGTGAAGCGAAATAGTGTCTGCCGTGACGGACCTGGCGGCTTAATTTTCAAGGCAACACAGGGGGCAACGATAGAAACAGAATTATAAGAAAAGACGAAGAAGTGGTACGCAGTGCGAATCTCAATGCGGCAAAGGTAATGCAGGCAAAAATTTAGAACTATATTACCAAAATCAGGAAATCATGATGAAGAGAATTTCCGGCTCATATCATCTAATTATTGCGACAGTGAGGAAAAGTTTCGATGTTAGGTGCAAACTTTCTGCCTGAAGTTCTGCGTAACCGAGAGGAACTTGAGTTGTTCGCCATCATTAATGCCAAGCATTTCACCATGTCCATGTATAATCGATGATGAAGTTTTGAGTTTGTCACGGAAGACGTCAATCATTCACACAATGTAAAAGTAATCGTTACTTATGAAAGCCAATGCATAGCAACGTTGATTTTCACTTTAAGTTGATAAAGAACTAAAGCGTATGGTTTAGATTACGCAACATTTATATCCTAATTCCAATCTTTGCAGGTAATGAAGTTTCACAAGTCATCTCCGGCTATAGACATGCTGCCTTCAGGTGTGAAAACTGTGACAGTAAAATGAAAATTCATATATGATTGAGAGCAAGATGAAAGATTTGCATGAAAAAATTTAGCAGTATATGACACTTAAGCGAGAGAAACTTGATGGGCGTTCATAGTTAAATAATCACTAATTTGATTCGATATAAGTAATGAATGTAAATGCCATGCCATCAGTGAAACAGGATGCAACACTACACTACCAAATGTAGTATTAGAAACGATATTGATCATTATGATCGAGTTAGACTGACTGAAAAATAATACGCAGATCCTTAGATTCAGCGCGTAGTCTTGCTCGTAGACCACAACACTTTGATAGTCCGGTAGGATCGGTGACTGACTGAACGAAGCAGCTTTGACGTTTGAAACATGAAAGGACCATTGGAATTGATGAAATACTTTGTGAGAGGCCTAAATGATAAGACGAGTAACAATGTAACGGCCACACGTGTCTGTCTTCTGGAGAAATGGATGATTCAAGAAGGGAGGCCGTAGGGACTGCTGCCATTATTGGAGCCATACTTTATTCAACTTTCTGTAGGAAAAGTCCACACAAATTTGTTAAAAAGGAGATGGCACGAACAAACTGATTCCAATGTCAAAAAATGCAACGCGGCTTCGGATCAGGCAGAGGCATTTTTCACCGAACTTTCGTCCTACGGTGAATTGTTCAGAAACCATGGAAGTTCATCCGGTTTATACGAATTTTGAGAAGAGGGAGAGAGTCTAAGACCGTATCCCATGCAGCAATCTATGGGCGTGCCCGTAGACATATGGGATCGAAGGCTAGTTGGAACGAGTTATCCAGTCATTATATGTTGACAGCGGAGTAAATTCCGTTATGTCGTTAAGTTTTAATGTTAGCACTTGGTTCCACTAAAGCTGCGTTCGGTCTCTTTTCATGTATGTGGTCTGCTGTGCACAGATGGAACGGCCAGTTGGAATCAGGGCACATAGTGTATCGCCGTAGAAAACCTGAAGACGGAAAGGTTACTATTTACAGATGGACTGTTTCGTTGGCACCTTCCGAAATTCAGCGTTCTCTGGAGAGGTTTGCAAGTGAGTGTTGTGTGGTCAGCATTCATTTGATCACGTTTCAGACGAAAAGCCTAGTGCTTTCTTCCTCTCCTGTCCGCTGAGCTTTGCAGATAAAAATTGAAACAATGGCACAGGTGGATAAATTCAGGCACATGGGGACAGTGTTTCCTGGTGATGGAAAAATGGAAGGAGATCGTCGGTGAATTGGCATGGCCTACTGGGTTCTACGAGAACTAGTTGGAACTGCTGTAACTAAAGCGAAGCTAAACCTGAAGACTAAGCTGTCTGTGTTCAAGTTAGTCTTTATCCTATGGTCATGAGATGTGGATCATGGACAGAAACTTTGATCGCAGGTGCAAGCAGCTGAGTTTGGCTTTTTGAAAGGAATCACTTGATTTACGCCTCTCAAAATTGTGCACTGTTCATATTTCTTAGGGAGTTTTTGAATATAATCGCGGCTTATTCAGATAAAAGGTCATTGCTGATATAACATTGCTGATCCTGATTCCTAGAACGAATTCGAAACAGGTTCTACATGCTGAGCCGAACGCTGCTGTTTAGGCTTTGCTAAACTGAGATGATGATAACAAGACAATGATAGCAGCCGCCAGGACAAAGATTACGGAGAACGGCAACGAATGTCCTAGGGCAGGCGCCTCGACAGACTTCTTCAGTTCTGGCTTATTTTCTGCCGAAAATCGGTCACTGGAAATCTTCTCAGTCACGTCTGTCTCCGGAATCCATGCCTGACTGATAACTGCTATACTGACACAGCTAAGTAATGCAAACACTAGATTGAGCGACATACATAGGTTGAGCACAACTAGATCAGTCGCACTGAGTGACGCATAAGGCTTCAAGAAACTGATTATACCTTTTCTCTAAAAAGTTGAAAACCTTTTCACTGACTCGATTTGTTGCTATGAATGATTTTAATGAGTTGGGCTTTGAATTGACTTCGTATCATTTAATTATTTTTCCATAATGAATGATGTGCCAAGAAATGTTACATGCAAATCATTTTAAGTCCTATTCTAAATTACCGTAAAATAGATGTGAGGAGCGCAATTTGACTGAATATAAAAAGGAATATGTCCCATTAGCGCTGAGAGGCTTATTACGTTCTGTTTCCATCAAATAAATTCGTGTAAACTTCAGTTGCAGTAAGCTAGAGTATGTGAGAAAGCAACAATGGGTAACTATAAATCGAGGCCAGCAAATTCTTGTTCAGGTGAGCCAATTGATTGTCGCTTAGGCAGCAAATTTACTGTTTTTCTTAGATGAGTTGAAGAAGAAAATCAGTGAAGGCTATGGCGTTCTTCGGGCGCGCTTGAACGAGGACTCCTGCGATGAGGATACGCTCTTGCAAACATCAGAAGACGAAATAGGAGCGGCGAGCAAGAACGGGTTCTATCGTCTTCAGTTGGCAGTTTACAGAGTCAGTTGCTTCATCGTTGTGGCGTAATATTAAAGTATACACTAATGTTTCGTTGCTCTTCTGAAGGGGGACACCGATGCGGTGCAACAGCTGCTCACCCACGGTGCTGATGCGAATGTCATGGGCGCAAACAAAATACCCCCATTGCATATCGCCGCAATGTGCGGATTTCACGAGGTAATTATCAAAACTGAGCTACTGCAATCCTTGTGAAATTTTGCTTTAACAACATGTTGATCTGTGTCGAAAAGGTTTTTGATTTTGGGTCAAATAATTTATTAAGATTTTAAAATGTAGTAAATTCATTTAAAGTTGCTCAGCTTTCACTGTTAATATAGATCTTGGAATCAAGGCACTTGTACACTTCATGGAATTACATATGCTTTGCAAATATGCTTTTTAAAGTGCACATACAAATTTTGATCGGTTCAATAAATTGCGTTATCGGTTGTCGTGTGTGAGGTATGCGTCATTGTAGATCAGATTGTAACATCTGTTGAGGTTTGGTAAATATGTTCCGACCTGCCTCTCAGTCTTCTTCATCAGACCCTTTCAAAATGCACACTGAGGTTTCATTTCAGAAGGTCCTAATTCGCCTGTCTCTGTGCGAGGACTGAAGCATACAAAAACATCTAGCAATCAAGTAATCTCGCACATGTCTGGGGCCTGCAGAATGAGGAACGGGAAAGGGCGGAATCTGCTAGAATCGACCCTTTCATATTATTCCATGCCTTCAGATACTCATCTGCCTTAACTTTCTATCCGCCTATCCATTTATTGAAGATTGAATACTTTCTTCGTACGTTGGTCATTATCTATCGACCTGGATTTGACCTCTCTAATGATGGTTAGCACTGACGTTTCAACTTAGTTTTTCTGAATCATGTTCAAGGTAGAAAAGCTGGAAGCTTTCTGTTATGTAGAGTTGCCTGCAGAAGGTGTTTCGTTTGGAGCCCATCGCCCTATTGACTAGGTAGTTCCCTTTATTGTGTAGTTTATAATTGAGTAGTTTTTCTTGTTGTTTTCTCAGTGCAGTGTGTTGCATTACGAAGAACTCTCTTGGCTTCCGAAAGCTCCTTAAAATTAAAGTACCTAGAATTTAGATTGTTCTTATGATCGATTGAGCATGTAATTCCTTGATCACTTCTTTTCGATGTTCCTATGTACGAATATGCACCTTATATAGACAGGCAGCCTATTTATACTCTCGACAATTTGCGAGCAGTTGATACTGATATGATTGTATCACGATATTTCTACGAAATTTGATCTGCTGATTCGTCTGTTGTTCATGCAATTGCTAGCTTAAATGATTTAACGAAGCCTCACTAAAAATATCTTCGGAAGTTCATTTCAATACACGCTAATTATGTAAATTATGTTCACTCCTTCAACAAGGGATGACTTTATGCGTGATAAATTTATAAACTTTAATTCGACTTTTCAGCTTCTGAAATGAAAGCTGTCATCGGGAATTTTCAACAATAGACTTAAAACGATAGAAATGCGATATACAAGTACAGAAATATTTCTAAGCAGTATGTGGTAAAGTCTGGAGTATGAAAAGAACAAGACGGAAAGTCGAAAGAAACGTAAAAAAGGGATAATATTAGAAAGAAAGGGAGATAGGGAATCGCTTGTAGGCCAGCAACTATCCGCAGAACTCGTGCAATTGTTGCACATCCTTCACTTGTTGAGTGGAAGTTACGCATTGTGGGTCTGATTCCGCTCGATTCCAATCTTTGTCTTATTCACGAATTTTCTTGAGCAAGAAATTTACTACACATTGCTTCAGTAGCTAAGCCGATACGGCGTCGAACTCAGAACTTATAAGTTCCGAGTTCAACCCTTGGTCGGCATCGCTCACCCTTCTTCCTTCCGAGGTTGATAATTGAGTACCACTTTGTGAGAAAGAAATAGAACACTGCACGCTGCGCTTGCCACATGATTGTAGAATCTGCCTTTAAGATAAGGCACTCCTGACCGATTGCCTAGAAATGGAGATTAGAACCCCCTCATGAACTTCATGAGAAGGACGCCAGAATGACGCAGTCATGAAAATGAAGGAAGACCGACATTCCAACGGTGGAAAACTTTTCTTTGCTTTTTTCCATAGTGTATTGCATGCGAGGAT